AAAAAATGAGATGGGCATCGCTGCCTACGCCGACGGCCAGAGGCCCGCGCATCTACATTTTTTCGCCTGACCCCATCAGTGCCGACCCAACTACACCACCACGCGCATGCCTCGCGGCGGATATGCGCAGCAGCAAGAAGGTTTCGGTCATCCCTTGAGGGTGAATCTAGCCCTGCTCGCCAGAAAGACCCCCCCCTTCACTACAACCCATGTCTAAGCAAAAGCTTGTCGAGGAGCGAGGGGAAGAAGGGAGATAGCGGTAGCTATTATTGAGGAATTAATCCTTTAGAGGAAGGGCGGGGACACCCCCCCTTTAATTCAAGGCCACATATTGAAACTCCCATTATCTACGTGACTATCTACCGGCCCCCCGCAAACTTTTTTTTGAATTTTCGCGAGGCCGTTAGCTTTCGTTTGCGCACCTCCGCGCGACGATCCGACCATCCCATCACGAGTTACAGCGACAGACGCACCGCCACGCATGGTTTGGCGTACCCTAGCACTTTTCTCGGCCTTGCTGTTAAGCATGGGCCGGTCTAGAGTTGATCCCGCAGCCGCTGCGAAGGCCTGTGAAGCGGTCCGCAGCGGCAGCATGTCAGGCAAGGCCGCTGCTGCTGCGTTCGGGGTGAACAGGACGTCGCTGCGGCGGCGCCTGAGCGGTGAGTGCGCGATGGACGCGAAGGTTGGCCACGGGACTGTGCTGACCAAAGCGGAGGAAGATGCGATGGAAGATGTCCTGCTGTACGCTGGTCGGAACTATATTCCTCTCACCAGGGCAGACTTCCAGGAGCGTGTGAGAAAGCTCTGCAAACGACGGTCGGCCGATCCCGAGGGACCCGGACAAGGGCCCAGGGAAGGCCTGGCTCTCTGGTTTCCTCGGAAGCACGAGCGCATCAGCCTTCGACTCGCCCGCATCTACGAGGCCAACAGGATGACTTCTCCGGCCGGAATATGAGCGTGTGCACAAGTTCTACGACCTCTTGCAGCAGTTCGTCGACGAGCAAGCCGGAGCCCGACCATGTTTGGAACACGGACGAGTCAGGTGAGCAAAGTCAAGCGTAGTGTATGGGCGTGCTTTAAGCAGCAGTGCTTTCAGCAACAGCTGCTGTGTGACGCTCTGCGGGCTTGCTTTGATGTTGTAGCCAGCGATGCACAACAATGTGAAAATAAGGCAGAGATCTGCTGCTGCTGAATGAGTTCCCCCGCTGCGTGGCGTGTGCGTGCAGCGAGAGCGCTGCTGGGTGAACGCGCACCTATTGTTTCATGTACGCTGGTTGCTGTCCTTGCTTATGTCGGCGGCAAATACACACGGTGCATCAAGAGCAGTTCACATGCTGATCCACATGTTCTGTGCGCACCACACGCGCGGAGTTGATGTGTGCCAAGTTGAAGTGACATGAGATGATGCTGCTGTACGTATCTTTCCTGCGACTACCGTTGCCCTGGTTAAAAATGAATCCTTAGATGTTTTTCATCCAGGCCCACAGGCAACAGTAGGGTCTACTTTACAGTATGTGGTCAAACAACTCTGTAGCTTCGCCGGGACTTACACATGTAAGGTTAAACTACGTGCACCCTCGCACCGGCCTCTCCCCTATCCCCCTCCCCCCCCGCCGTCCCCATGGTAGGCTGGACGTTGGTGGGTGCGTGTGAGCGCAGCTCAGCCTGTACTTACTGTC